CTTTTATCAATGAACATGCTAGCCTTACTAGTAACATGATTAAATTACACAGAAATCATGCCTCTTAAACTTTTTAAGCATCACAGCACATTTGTATTATCTGCTAAATATTACTTTCCATTCAATATTCCTATGAGGTCCTTATTGTAAGTAGTATAAGTACTACTATACCCGATAATAAAATATATACCAAATTTTAGTGAGCAGCAGAATTTAGAAAATGTCCTGTAGCTTAGAATAATAAAAGTGCTGTATTCCTTTAGGGCTGGAAAAATACTTTCTTCTCAATTACCCTTTGAGGAAAATTAATGAAGAAATGACTATTTCCATTTTACAGATGAGGAAATTGAAGCTCAGGGAGGTTAGAAACATGGAACTCTATAGAGGGATGATACTTTAGGGATCACCCAACCTCATCTGTGCCTGAAGCATGAATTTTCCAAGTGACTTCCCAATCCCAATAAATAGCCTAGGTAGGACTCAAACCTAGGTCCTCTGATTTCAGGGCCGCCAGGGCTCTTTCCGTTCTGCCATGTTGCCTTGATGTGACTACAAAAATGATTTGCCAGCCTTGTTTGCCAGAATCCAAGAAATAAAGACTGAGGAGAAATCAGCTTGTTCTTCATCATTAACATCAAAATGTCACCATAAGTGTGAATCATAAAAAAGAAAAGAAAACACAACTTGAATTACGGACAATTTGAAACCTCCAATTCCAAACAGCATTCAGAGCCATAGGAGTGTGTGCAAAAAATGCTCTGAAAATTGGGTGCATAATGCATCTATCACTCAAAAGGACATCTTAATGTAGCTAGGCTGTAAAGCCAACATTTCTAGAATATACTTACAGATTTTCCTTTTGGATAAGAACCCTTATACAAGCTGTACTTGAGAGGCTGATAAGCCATGCAGTACAGTGGTGAAATGAGGCAGAGAAAGCTAAATGGATAGTAAGCAAACACGAGACTCAGAGATCTTAGAGCTAGGGCAGCTCTCAAAATAACATCAGGTCCATTCCCCTGCCTTTAGCACAGTAAGGCAGAACCCTCATTTTTGTGGATGGGGCAGTGCAGTCTCAAAGAGGGTAGGTCATACAGGAAATTAACAACAAGACTAGGACTCAAAGGCAAATCTCATACATCCATTGCCTCATAGACCATTAGAGATAAAATGAAACTTGGAGAACCCTAGTCCAAAACTCTCACTTAACATGGGGGAAACAAGACTCAGACAGGACAATGGCTTGTCCAAAATGATGACTCAAACCCAGCTCTTTAGATTCTAACTGCACAGCTCTTTCTATAACATTACATTACTTCCAGTGATGGCTTTATTTTAGGTTCTCTGGGCTTTTTCATTAATTCATTCCTGTTTTTGTTGTTGTCATTCAGTCATTTCAGTCATGTCCAAGTCTGTGACTACATTTGGGGTTTTCTTGGAAAAGATACTGAAGGGGTTTGTCATTTCCTTCTCTAGCTTATTTTACATTTGAGGAAACGGAGGCAAACATGACCAAATGATTTGTCCAGGGTCACAGAGCTAGTAAGTGTCTGAGGTCAGATTTTAATTCAGCTCCTCCTGACTCCAGCTCCAGTACTCTATCCACTGTGCTACATAGCTGCCCTGTTTTTTACTTAATTCATAATTCGACAAGCATTTACAAAGCACGTACTTTGTGTCAGATACTGCTCTGTATGTAGAATACAAAGCTTAATTAATACAAAAAAAAACTGCTTTCAAGGGACTTGAATTCTACTGAGGAGAAACCATATGAACAGTAAATTTTTGAAAAATGTATACAAATTAAGGCCTTTAGTAGCTGGGAGGATCAAGTGCTGAATAAGTCTTTACCAGGTCTCTTCTGGGAGGCTGCAGTTGAGCCAAGCCTTGAAGGGATCTGGGGACTCTGAGGCATAGTCCAAATAGCCCACAGCAATGTCAGTGTTCAAGTTTTGTCCCTTCCTAATTTCCTTCCAAGGGCTGCCTCTAGCTAGCACAAATATAAATCATCAAATTTACATCATTCTACTAAAGCCATGCTACACTATGTGTCTGCATTGAAACCATGGACTGCTGTAGGCCTTGGATAGAGGATCAGGTAGAAGCTAAGTCATGCATACAATCCTGAAAATTTACAGCAATCAATATAACATATAAGACATCCAGAAACCAGAAAATAAGCTAAAACTGAATATTAAGGTCCTCTAATTTTTGATACTGGTAAACTGTGGGGAAGAGGGTATGGTTTAGAAAGTCCTATCAAAGCCACATATTTCAATACCATGGGGACATGGATTCATTCATGACAAAAAATCTCTTTAGGGTTTTCTCTGTGTCTTAGGCTTGCTACAGTAACGGGGCTTTAGTGGATGCCCAGATCATTTAAGATAGAGGTATCCACATGGGAGATACGAGGGATCTAGTCTTGCTTGTGGCTGAAGACATTCTGTGTGCCCCTAACGTGGATGGGAGGAGGGGACTTCCTTTGAATGCTACTTTCTGTAACAGCCATGACAAAATTTGTCTTTAAAATTACCAGACTGAGACAGTCTCACTCTCTTTCCAGCTGCATTAGGGTAGGGGGCATGGAGGAGAGGAAGAGGGAGGAGGTCCTGTTCACTTTCAGCAAAGGCTTCAATGCCTTGAGTTGTTTGCTACCTTCCTTCCCTCTTTCCTTCCTCCCTTTTCAGGTCCTATGACCCTGGGCATTGTTATCTATTTCATTTTTCCTTTTTGGCTCTAGACCCAGGTGGTGGGCCTAGACTTTAGAGCTGGAGTCATGGTAACCTTTCAGGCAGGATTCCAGGCTAGAGACTGCTGCCACCCCAATAGGGAAACCCTAAAGAGGCAAAGTACTAGGACATGAATATTAAGCCCCTTACCAACACTCCCAACCCCCTGCATTGTAGACTTTGAACTTGGTGGGACTATGCTATAAGAGAACTGAGTTAAGCTATTAAACTAATCCCTCTCCCCTCCCCAGAGACCATGGTGTTGGTGAAGATCTTGTTATATCTTTAAAGTAAATATCCTTTTGTAAAAGCAACAGTTAATCTGACTATTGCATGGTTAAATGGAACTGAGGTATATGTAACCCTTAAGATTAGGGGAATACATTTGGTGGGTGCTTGAGCCAATTGGAGAAACTAGACACAAACAAATCAACTTAAGGGCCTAGGGGAAGGGTGGCCTTCAGGACTTCAGGCCAGAGCGGCCAATGTTAGACTACCAAAACCAGTTTACAAGTTCCCTCCGGGGAACACATACAAAACAAGGGGAACGTACCTATAGGCAAATGAGGAAGAGCACTCAGAAACATTCAAATCTTGAAACTACTCTGCTTTTCTGTAACAAAACCGACCTATCTCCTTTCTTCTTTCTCTAACGGTATAAAGTTTTAAATAAGATCCATCATGAGGGCTAGCCTCAAGCGCCAGAAGCAATTGCCTATTTCTCCCTAAGTTCATGCAGCATCTTTAGACAACCTCACTGTGGGAAAGATGCTGGTTCCGAGTCACTGACTTCCCACTCTCACGGAGCATTTGTCCTGCCTCTTCTGCTATGCTCACAACGCAAGCCAATAGCAGCACTGGGTCAGAAACCATTCAGGCAGGAAGGAACAAGAAGGACATAAATATTTAATGGTAATGCAAGGTAGGTTGTCACAAGCCTGGGCAGATAATCAAGAGCCAGGTGGCATCAATGGAATCAAAATGGCAGGGCAGTAAAATACACGTGTAAAGAGAATCACAAGGCTTGGAAAGACATTGGAGAAAGTTGGATTATATGACCACTAAGATCCCTTCCAATTTTAAATCTCTATGTTCTGATTATCAACTAATCCAACACTCTCACATTAGTGACATGAAATTAGAGTCAACGGCTTGATGTGACTTATCCCTGGTTGCAAAATGACTTCATGGCCAAGCTGGATTGTAAACCAAGATCTCTCATCTCCTCTCTAGTATTTTTTTCTACCACACCACTCTTCTTCAATTCATAATAGACAAAATGGCTCAAGAAACTTGTATTCTTAGTGGTGGCAGACTTCCGCAACTGCTGCTAATCCAGGTCTGCCTGAGGGACTGGGGAAGGTCTCAGGAAATGCTGTCAAAGGACATCACTGTCACTGACATTACAATGCAATCATCATCACAGCACATTCCTTTAATATTTGCTGCCTTTAAAACCTCCAGCAGTTTATAGTACAGCCCAGTGCATGAGAATCTCCTCAGGGACATGTATAACACAGGAGAACACAGTCACATGGAGAATGTTTGAGTCAGAGCTTGCATTTTGGCCCTCAGGGAAAGTGACACAAAACAGGCCTTAAATTCAGTTCCCTGGATCACTGGATGTCCCAGAACAGCATAAGAAACTTGCTGTGGATGTGATGAAAGAGGGTAGAGCTGGATGAGAAGCCCCTTTGAGCGATGATCATTGGAGAAAGGAAGAACACCATCTTGTAGCTTCTTATCTAAGCTAATCATTTTAGCCAGGTTGTTGCTGATCTTATCTGTTCCTATAAAATACCTTAGGTACTGAAAATACTTTGTCAATTTTTTTCTCTCTAGGATAAAGTCCTGGGCACTAGTTCCCAATCACAACCACCCGGGCATTCAGATCCTCTACAGCTAAGCTTCCCTAACACCAAAGAGGTTCAACCTGGATTGCTTGCTCCCTCTTCTCCACACAGTGAACTCTGCAGGTCAGTGCAATAGAAGAGCCTGATTAGGAACTACTAGCCCAGAAGCCTAGGCCAGCCATGATTTTCTAAGCCGACCACAGGCAGCGTCAAAATAAGGAGACTAGTTGGCACCCATGATGGTGCTCATGCTGCCTTCCTGCTCTGACTACCAAACTGATTTGCTAGTTGTGGAATTCTTCGTTTGCCAGAAGAAATAACTAGTTGTTTATTTACTTTTCCTTTTCTTTTTTCTGTTTTTTTTTTGTTTTTAATAAACTCTGATGAGGAAAAAAAAGTTAGTTGTTTCACTTACAGGAGGTCCTGGTAATCCATTGAGTCCAGGTATGCCAGCTTCACCTTTCTTGCCCTGGACATAGAGAAGAAAAAAGAATTACAAAACAGACACAGAATACACGACCAGTGTTGCCTCAGACAGCCACTGATGTGATTCTTGTCTCCTCAGGGGAACCCAGAACTTTCAGTCTAAGCGTTAGTGTTATCATTACCATGAGGGAAATCACCCTTCTCAGTGTACCTCTGTTACTCAGACTTAAAAACAATTCTTTTGTTTTCTTTTTTTTGGGGGGGTAGTCTAGGCAATTGGGGTTAAGTGACTTGCCCAAGGTCACACAGCTAGTAAGTGTTATGTGTCTGAGGTCAGATTTGAACTCAGGTCCTCCTGAATCCAAGGCCGGTGCTCTATACACTGAGCCACCTAGCTGCCCCTTGTTTTCCTTTTTGAAAAAAAAATGCTTATTTAAAAAATTCATTTTTTAAAAAAAGACTATTTTCTCAAATTCTTTTCCCCCTTCAAATCTTCCCCCACCCACTGTGAAGACAAGAAATGTGGTCGATTATGTGAAATCATTCAAAACACATTTCTATATTAGCCATGTTGCAAAAAGGAAGTAAGAAAAAAATAAAGTGGAAAAAAAAAAGCTTCAGTCTGCATTCAGACTCCATAAGTTGTTTCTCTGGCTGACGATAGCATTTTTTCCATCATAAGTCCTCTAGAACTATCTTGGAACATTTTATTGATCAAAGTAGCTAAGTCTTTCACAACTGATTATCATTACAATATTTCTGTTACTGTATATGATGTTCTCCTGATTCTGCCCACTTCGTTTTGTATCAGTTTGTTTAAGTCTTCCCGGGTTGTGTTTTGTTTTTTCTGAAAGCATCCTGCTAGTCATTTCTATATCTATCTGTTTCTATATCTATATCTATCATTGCTATAGCATAATAGTACTCCATCACTATCATATACCACAACTTGTTTGGCTATTCCCCAATTCATGGGTATCCCCCTCATTTTTTCAATTCTGTGTCAAGTCCTCAGAAACATACTATAAATATTTTTGTACATATAGGTCTTTTTCATTTTCCTTTTATCTCTTTGGAATACAGACCTAGTAATGGTATTGCAGGGTCAAAGGGTAAGCACAGCTTTATAGCCCTCTGGGCACAATTCAAAATTGCTGTCCAGAATAGTGAAATCAGTTCACAGCTCTACCAATAGCGCATTAACGTCCCATTTTTTCCACATCCCCTTTATCACCTTGCATTTCCTTTTCTATTATATTAAACTATCTGATAGGTATGAAGTGGTATCTCAGAGTTGTTTTACAATTTTCATTTCTCTAATAAATAGTGATTGAGAGCATTTTTTGACTACAGATAGCTTTAGGGCAGCTAGGTGATGAGTAGAAAAGAGTGCCAGGCCTGGAGTCAGGAAGACTTATCTTTGTGAGTTCAAATGTGGCCTCAGACACTTACTAGCTGCGTGACTCCGGGCAAGTCACTTATCTCTGTTAGCATCAGGTCCTCACCTGTAAAATGAGCTAGAGAAGGAAATGGCAAACCACTCCAGTATCTTTGCCAAGACAATCCCAAATGGGGTCACAAAAAGTTGGACACGACTGAAATGACTGAATGACAATAATAACAAAATAGATACCTTTGATTTCTTCTTCTGAAAATTTCCTGTTCATATCTTTTAACCATTTCTCAATTACAGAATGACATATTCATATAAATTTGATTCAGTTTTCTACATATTTGAGAAATGAGGCCTTTATCAGAGAAACTTGCCGTAATTTTTTTTATTTCCTGCTTTCCTTCTAATCTTAGCTTTGATTATGCAAAACTTTTAAAATTTAATATAATCAAAATTATCCACTTTACATCCTATGATCCTCTTTATCTCATTTGGTCAAAAATTCTTCCCTTATTCACAGATCTGACAGGTAAAATTTTCTATGCTCCCCTAATTTGCTTAAGATATCATACATCATGTCTGAATCAGGTGCCCATTTTGACCTTTATCTTGGTATATGGTGAGAGATGTTGGTCCATACCTAGTTTCTGCCAAACTGCTTTCTAGATGTCCCAGCAATTTTTGCTAAATATGAGTTCTTGTCCCAAAAGCTTAGATTGTTAGTTGATTATTGTTGTTACTGTGGACAATGATTTCCCGACTCTGCTCACTTTACTTTGTATCAGTTTATGTATCTTCATAGTTTTTTCCCCCTGAAACCTTCAGTTCTTTTAAATGGAATTTTTCTTTCTATCTCTTAATTCTGGATTTTGTTGGTAATATATAGAAATGCTAATGATTTATGTGTTTTTTTTATATCAGCAAATTTGCTAAAGCTATTCATTGTTTCAATTTGTTAGTTGATTCTCTAGGTTTCTCTAAGTATATCATCATATCATCTTCAAAGAGTGATAATTTTGTCTCCTTGTTGCCTGTTCTAATTCCTTCAATTTCTTTTTCTTATTACTATAGCTATCATTTCTAGTGCAATATTGAATGATACTGGTGATAATGGACATCCTTGCTTCACTCCTGATCTTATTAGGAAGGTTTCTAACTTACCCCATTACTAATAATGCTGTGTATAGAACATAGATATAGATATATAGATATAGATAGATAGATAGATAGATAGATATAGATATATCTATATCTATATATATATACACACACACATATACATATATATATAAAGACATATGTGTGTATATGCATATATGTGTGTATATATATATATATAAATGTATATATGTACATATAAACACATATTTATGTCTAATGGTAGATATTTCTAGGGCAGGGAGGGGAGAAAAAAGGGAAAAAACAAAGTTACATGACAACTTCAATATATATTTAAAAAGGAATAGTAAATTGTACATAATAGATTTGTAGTTTCACGTGCAATCATTTTTTCTATTCTACTATATTATGGGAATATTTGTTGCATTTCTTAGGTTCAGAATAAAATAGATAAAAAAGAAAAATGAACAAATAATGCTTGCTGATGGTTTAATATTGCTGATGTTCTTGTTCAGTCATTCAGTAACGTCCAACTCTTTGTGACCCCATGGACTATAGCAATCCAGTCCTTTCCATATTCCACAATCTCTCAAAGTCAACCAAGCTCATTTTCATTGTTCTAGCCTTATTATACATTGCTCTCATCCACACACTCTATAGCCTCAACCTGACTTTCTTCCTATTCCTCACACATTATACTCCATTTCCCAAATCTGTGCCTTTGCATTCACACATTCTCTGGAATGTATTCCCTCCTCTCCTTTGCCTCCTGAAATGCCTAATTTCCTTAATGATAGAGTTATTAAACACATGGCCCACAACACTCCTAAGTGTGGCCAGAGCCAGATTAAAATACAATTAGGAAATATATAACAAAATAAATAAAAATACAATAGAACATAGATAATGTGAATATGTAGTTTTCTAAGACAAATATGGGGCTATGGAGATTTTTGCATAAAGTTTAGTGGCCAATTTTTATTTGAGTTTGACCCCAATGCTTTAAAATATGCTTCAAGCACTGCCCTTCCCAGAAGGCTTTTCCTAGGTGCCTAATTACTAATCCCTTTCCCCTCCTCAGGCTATATTGCATCTGTTTTGCATGGATTTTTATACCTAGCTCTGAGAATATTGACTCATCTATCAAAACGTAAGTTCCCTGAAGGCATAAAATATTTACCTTTTGTCTTTGTATCCCCAATTCCTTGCCCAGTGCCCAACACATAATAGAGACTCAATAATGCTCACTGATTGACTGTTTGATAATATAAAGAATCCTTGACTGGGTATAAAAGTCTTAGATTCTAATTCTGACTAACTTGCTAGGTAAGCTTCAATACTTTGAAGATGTAGGGGATATGCTTCATCATCTATCTTTTGAAGTCATAATTGGTTACTGTATTGATTAGAATTTTTAAATCTTGGAAAGTTGTTTTATCTTACAAAATAGCAGTCATTTTACAAATTATTATCCTTACTTTGTTTATCTCACTCTTTATAAGTTCATATGAATCTTCTTAGGTTTCCTGGAATCCACCCCTTTTTTATATTTTACAGCACAGAGGTATTCTCTTACATTTGTAATCCCTAATTCAGCCCCTATTGTCTTATATTTTTAGTGAGGCAGAACCAGCTCCTTCCTGAAGCAGCTCATTGTTAGATACTTCTATTTATTCTTTAAATCAAACTTAAAGTTGCCTCATTGCATCTTCCACCCATTACTGCTAGTTCTGCTCTCCCAAGTCTAAATTAATCTCCCAGGTGACAGCTTTGAAAAGATTTGAAACAAGCTCTTATGTTGCCTTTAATTCTTGTCTTCTCCAGGACTGAACATTCTTAGTTTCTTAGATCAATATTTACATGGCATGAGCTCAAAGCACTTCACTATACTGTTTGGATGACTGACCTCTGGATGTTCTCTAGCTTAAGAACAACTTTCTTAAGAGTCAGTACTCAAAAATGACTTCAATTTTCTTGCATATATTTCACATGCATATAATTTATTTGCATACACAGCTATTGCTTCTCAGAACAAAATATCCCTTTCTGGATAAAACTCCCCCATATAGTTTTCTTCCCTTAATACAATGTTAAGGTCCTTGATGGCAAAGATAGACTTGCTTTTTGTGTTTGTAATTCCAGAGTTTAGTACAGCATCTGTCATATAGTGTTTAATGAATGTTTCTCATTCGTTCGTTCCTTCCTTATTTCATTCATTCAAATTGTTACTTGCCATATGATCTTGGTCAATTTATTTTACCTTTCTGGGCCTCAGTTTCCTCATTTGCCCTATTAATTTTATAAGAATAAAAGGACCAAAATGCATTATAAAATAGCAAGTGCTATATATGAACTTTTAAAATTAGTGAACAAGACAATACATATACATATATATGTACATGCATATGCATACAAACACATACATACATATATATGCTAAGAAACCAAATTGCTATGGTTCATATTAATTAAGAGATAGCAAATGCAGGGAATTTTTATAGAGGGAATCAAACCATGACCATAGGCCAAGC